TATACTATAGTTGACTATAGTGGTGACGAAAGATGCGGCAACTCCTTGATGGCGACTGCCAACCGCATCAGAAAGAATAATCGTCGCCGCAGGAAATGACATATCCATGCCCCAGGGCATAACCAAAAGCGAAACAAAGGTTAGCCCCCAGTAAGTTTGATCAGCGGGTGCGATTGCCGACAATATATTCCCAAAAGTAAATGCAATCATTGCAAGTGACATGATCCACCCGGGGTGGAGTCTGCTCATCAAGGCACCGGTCGTGAAGGCCGCCAATATTCCCACGGGCGCAACAGGTGTAAACTGGGCCACACTGAGAAGGGGCGAAAGATCACGGATGTTTTCAAGAAACCTCCAAAAGTAGTAAAGCCAAATTCCGAAGCTTGCCCAGCCGCAAGCCACACAGGCAAGAATGAATGATACATCCACATTGAGAGCATGGAAGGGAATAAGAGGCTTTGGCGAAACCTTCATTTCGACAATAAAAAAGGCCAGTAGAAAGACAAAACCGATAACCAGGACAGTGTAGACGTAAGGCTGATCCCAACCTACCACTGGGGCTTGATTCCAGGCAAGGTTGACTAAAACAAGACTAGTCACCCCTAATGCAGCACCAAGGAGGTCAAGTTCCTGAACAATCTGCGAAATGTCCATCTCCCGAGCCGGACTGTACGCTGCTGGGATAACGATTGCCCCAAGGATGGCAAGTAGGAAGCAATATATAGACATTGACCAAAAGGTCCATGGCCACCAGCCAAGTTGGGAAATAATCGCGGCGAAAACGGCGCCCAGTAACGCTCCGTTGGGAGCCATAGCACCAAACAATGCAAAGACCATATGTTTCTTCTTTCCTGGTGGATATGCAGCACCGAGCAATGCAAGTCCATTTGGAAGTAACATCGCTGGTCCAAGTCCTTGAAGCGTGCGAGCGAAGATGAAAAGAACATCGTTTGAGTAGACGCTGAGCCCTGCAACCATTGACCAGATTGCGAACCATAAAAAGCCCAAGATATAGACGATTCGGTACCCGAATACATCACCGCAGCGGCCGAAGAAGAGAATGAAAGTGCCGACTGTGAGAGAATAGCCGGCGATGAGCCAGCTTAGATCTCCGGGATTGGTGATAGAAAATGAATCGCCGATTATGTTTAAAGGGGAAAGACACGCTCCCAATCCCACCTGGGTCATAAATTGCGACATGCATATTACTGTCACAAACAGGATTTCTTGTATAGAGGAAAAGGAGGTCACAGTTTGGCGAATTGAATTGGTTCGAGTCAACTGTGCCTGAAGAGCGGAATGATTTTCTCCGTCGTCAACGATGTCCATGGCCGGCTGGATCTTGTTGAGAAGAAAACATCAATCTAATTGACGTGATGAGCTGTCCTCATTAGCAGAAAGCCAACTGTAGGCGGTCAAGAGGGCAACGTCGATCGAGGCAAATTATCTCTCCCAGCCTCAAGAAAGTTTCATTCGCGAATGGTTTAGAAAAATATAGTCACTAGACGTATGGGGCTTTTCACTCCACTCTTTCCCGGCTAACACGGGTAGATCATGCTAGATGCCTTACATAAGCGGAATACACGCTCTCCAAGCACCCGAGCCCCACTCATCGTAACAGTATTCGGTCACTTTTTGAGGCCGAAACATCACAGGGCTAGCTCTGCCAGGGGAATTATCGCTCAATTACCTTACATCATTACAGTAATGATCATCACCAAATGTTTGATCAGGAGCATCACTTCCGGGCGATAGATTAAACCATTCAAACCACGACCTTGAGTATCAGTAGCGAGTAAAAGTAGCAACATGTACGTGGAAGCTCGAGGGTAATCATTCTTTGCTAGCTCCTTGACCGTTCTTACCTTATATTCCATATTCCAATTTTGGCCGTTTCGTGCTTCAATTCATCATGTCCTCCAGAGTACTGGGATACCGGGAAGGATTTTCAGTAGAAGTGTCGTCTGGACCTTCTATCGCCGGCACAACCGAAGAGTACGAGCTAAACTTTGCCCGACGAGCATTAGCTCTCGTGAAAGAGCGACTGGGAGTCGCCCAGATCGAGAAGCTGCTGCTGCCCGATATCGAGAGAAGCAATGCTTTTTGGCAGACATGTGACTGATATGTTGATTAAATTGGTGTTCTGTTGGTGTGACGCTCGGATCACTGAGGTGTTGTGAGGTCCGAGGTCACGTGACCTCGTGATATCGTACAAGACAGTCATTGCACAGAATACGACGGGGGAGTGCAGACCCTCGCGTATCGATATGTCGGTTCACGGATTGTCCCCGGACGAATTTGTGAAGTGGTTCCACTTGCGCTGCGGGAAACGAATTCCCGATATGCTTGCTGCTGAGCCAGAGCACTGGGTTGTTACTTCAGACGCCGAACACAATCAAATGGCCATTGAGAACCTGGGACCCTGGATTACCCGGCTCTACATCAAATTTGGCCCTCCATCAACCCCTTGGCAGCAGAAGGATCTGAGGGATGATTATCCCATCAGAATTTGTGGCCATGCGGAAAGCGACGATGGAGTACCTTTGGCCTACGTTCTCCACCAACTGAAGCCGTATGCTGCTGGATTGGGGGTTGATGCCAGATTCTGCATTTACTTTCCTGCTTCTGCACCAGAGGAAATTTTCGAGCAGCATAGGCAGCATCTTCTCGTTGAATTTACGAACTGGACTCGCCATTGTTTTACGGAGTTGAAGATCAACAATGTTCAAGTTGAATAGAGAGAAGTGTTGACTTCGTCCTCACATCAATCTTATACTGATGATTGGGTATTGTGAGGAATTTCTAGTGTACATAATGACCCGGCGGCGGTCGTCTGATATCGTTTCAAGCGAGGATTTGATGTTGATGGATAGTGTTGACGTGGGTCACACGATCCAGCCCATTTGTAAATACCCGAGATAGCTCTTTCCTTCTCTCCAGCTTCTTCTCCCCGGTGTGTTACCATTATCGAGCGCTTTTCCTTGCTCTTTCTAGACCCATTCAGTAAAGCTTTCCTTTCGTATGTCTCTGGACTCACACGTCATCAAAACGATATCCTGAAATGCTGACGAGTACGACCGTCCTTCTTTCACAAGGTATCTGGCGGCAGAGCAACGTCAATTGACCGTAACAAATACTTTAAATCAATTAATCATTCCGAGAATAAGTGTACGAATTCTTCAAATCACGAAGAGTGTGCTTTAGGCTGCACATCATGGATCAAAGGTATGGTCCATGGCAGTTGGCCATGCGGTTCAGGCCTAAGATGCCCGTGGGAATCTTCATTTCTGCTCGATCGATGGTACAGTACTCTGTAAAACACTAAATTCAGATTAGACATCGGGATGAGCAAGTCAACTACGTAACTTCAAGTCCCGGGGGAAATGAAACAGGCGCGTCTTGCTTATCGATGCAGAAATAAACTCATACGCTTAACATCGGATTTCGCTTACGGATGACAGGTGTTCCAAAGTCATTATCAGTTTTGCAGATGGGTTTGACCACTTCTTCGATTGTTCATCAAACGAACATATGGAAAGCACAATCTCCTTGCATTTGCACGATGTGGACACGGGGATTTCTTGCTCTGGCAACTTCTTTTTGATGTTCTTATATTAACAAGTAGGAATTATCTTTGGGGTCCCTTGTCTCTGCTCCGCTGAACATTGAGACTCCAGATAACTAGATATCTATACCAACAATGAACCCCCGTTCGACGCCACAACAGAGCCCGTGACGTACTGATCCTTCATAAGGTAGATATAGCTCTCTGCAAGATCCTCTGGGCGACCGACAGTCCCCGTCAAGTTATTCTCCCGTGCATTTTGCAAAATCGCTTGAACCGCCTCATCTGGAAATCCAGAGAATATTTCCGTATACACCACGCCTGGCACCACCACGTTGACCCGCAAGGGCTTCAAATCCAGCGCCAGTCCACGCGCAAGCCCTTCGTTTGCCGACGCGTAACCAGACATGGTAGACCATCCAGAGATAGGGCGGTGTGCGACCGAGCCCCCAGTCAATGTAAATGAGTTGACAGGGGAAAGTTCCATGTAACTTGGTAGCAGTTTGGCCAGAATCTGAGGCGCGACGAACCGCACAACACCAGATGCTTGGATAGCTTCCGCTGTAGTCTTATCCAAAGAGGAAAGTTGAATTGCATCGCCCGCCGTGAAAACAACGTGGTTCAACTTGAGCTTTCCGTTCTGAGTTGCAGTCGCTTCATCTAGGAGACGGCGCAGGTTTTCTTCGAGATCGTGCGTATTGGCTAGGTCACAAACATACCCGGATACACGTTGCGTCGACATGAGCTCTGGGTACGTTTCTTGAAGTCTCCTGACTGATCGTTCGAGCTTCGCGGAACTGGAGCTAGAGATGATCACACTGGCGCCATTTTCGAGTGCCGCTTCTGCCACGGAGAATCCAATTCCAGAAGTTCCCCCGAGAACGAGAACATGCTGACCGCTAAGTTTGTTGATGTACTTGCGGGTGGGCGAGGCCATTTCGGACATCCTTGGAGCACGAAACTCTTCGCTAAAGTTGAATGGGCCATGGCAAGTCTACGCTATGTGATGTTTATATAGTGACAAACAATCACTTGATTTGTCAGTGTGAAAGTGGATCGAGCCACGGCACACGACGAGTTCTGCAGAATATGGAAGGTTGAATGGACCCCTGTCTTACAAATCATCGTTCTGATTCTTCAAGGGGGATGTGGCGAGGTGAGGAGGACCCAAAATGTGGGCTCGGCTGGAACCGGAGTTAACACGCGGCTTTATTTCCGACTCGTGTCGGTCTCGCACTTTCGTGGTAGCCGAAAGCGGGTCGCTACGCAAAGATGCGTTGTGTGTATTGGCGACGCCTTACTTAGCGTTACTTTGCCTCGAATATGTTGACAGGCAGTTGCGATGTGCGAATCCAGGCAGTCAGCAGCATCTTGCTGGAATGCCTGCTTGTTCAAGACGAGCGTCGCTAGATGAGAAACGCGCTATTGGAGCGTGGAGTCGCTCTTCGGCTCGACGAGCTCCTAGCGCGTCCGGAGCCATCGTAGTGAGTCTTTTTTCTTTTTATTTCGTCTTTCTTCAATCTGCTGCAACCAGCCATCAGATTCAAGGACCTTGAGTTGCGATTGACTTCAATGCTCTGCATCTTGCCGACTCGCACCGATTGATCCGATGCAGGTAGGCCGCAAGGCCAATTCTTCCGGTGCGAAGCTGCATCAGAGCTGTTGCCGTGGCCTTCCGTAGGTCGGACCAGTACTTTAATGTCTTTTTGCTTGGCATTTCGATCAAGCGCGTTCCGTTGGTCGGCTCGTTTTCTCTGTGATCCACGATTTTTCCCATTCCGGTTTTGCCTCGTGTCAAAACGTAGGCGTTTAGCAGCAGCTGCGAAGCGAATATTCCGATTGTCTGGATTCCGTGGCGGACCACCCTCCCTGGTGTTCGAAAATCTCAGGCCACTGACCGGGCTGATAAGATCAAATGGTCGTTACCCCGCTTACCACGCAATGTAATGAAGCTTTACCATATATGACCTCATCAATGGAGTATAATCTTCGCCGGTTTCAGCTTCGTGGAAAACGTCAACATGTAACGTGACTCTCAAGCTAGATAAAGCCGATAAAGCTTCCATGGATTTGATCTCTTACCTCCATCAAAGCACAACTTTAGATTCATTATCGCCAATTACACATTGAGTAAGATCATACATGTCATTCCCAGATCTTAAGCTGACCTAAATAGATCATGGGTATCATGGATATACTCAACTATCACTGGTATGATCTCGGCATCATATCTGGTCTCGCTATGATTCGGTACTATCGCGCCAATAACCGTACCCTCAGCACACCTCAAAAGTATCTTATTGCCGATTTCCTCGCCCTGATTGTCCATCAATTTGAGGAATATCGATTCCCTGGAGGCTTTCCAGCCATTATGAATATCGCTGTTCAGGAGAGTGACGTGCCCGATCGTTACCCCCTCAATGCGCAGTCAGCCATGTTCACCAACGTTTTGTCCACCTACGGACTTTACCTTCCTGTGATCTTTTTCCCCGAAGTGACTTGGCTTGGACTTACCACGATCCTTTTCAGCTTTTCTCAAGTTTGGATTCATGGTATTATGATCAATTCGAAGCTCGGTAGTATTTATAACCCTGGGCTCACCGCGGTGGTGCTCGGGTTTGTTCCCATCGGTCTCAAATACATTCGGTATATGCAAGAAAAGGGCTTGCTCACCACAAGAGATTGGATACTTGGATCTATTGGTGCGGTTCTTGTTGGCTGGGGTCTTCTTCTCAAGAGTACATTCGGCTGGTTGCCTGATTATGATACCGCTTATCCTTTTACTCAAGCCGAGATGCAAAGATGGGGTGCTAGGGTCGCAGGAGTGGTTTAGTGATGTGAAGAGAGGAGATAATAGAAAGATTGATGCAGAAAGGAGAAGATTTGTCAATGCAAATTCTTTACCCCCTACGCACTCTACTTATCACATCTAGATCTTAAGATGTCAATAAATTGTATATTTCACTTCATTACTAATTATTCTAGCATAAATGTAAGGTATCAAATATAGTGGCATGCGATGGAACCAAGACCACCCCCGCCAGTGGACCCTTTCAGGCTTTTTACCATCGCCCTTCATGTTTGGCTAGCCTACGTAGACGCGCGCTTCAACACGCGAGTATAAATATATATTACATAGTAGCCTAAGTAGGATTTTTTTTTGGAGGGTTCTAAATGTAGAAGGCATCCGTTCTTAACAGTTATTAAGAATTACATGAAATAGTTCATTGGGTTTTGTTACGTGTTGTATTAGTTTTGCTAAGGTTCCCTGGGGTTTCGGCAAGGTGGCGATAGGTGGCGGTAGGTTTCACAAACGTAGCACTATAGTTTTAATACTGGAGTAAAATAGTTGTCTGCTATCAACTATAGTTTTAGATTGTAGTCTACTACTAAACTCTTAACAACGCTACTAAATACACAATATGTTACAGAGTTTACAATGGTTAGCTTTCTATACAAATGTGGAATTATTAGAGTGGCTTAACCTGACCGTTATACCTTAACCTTAACCTAACCATAACCTGGCGGTCAGGTTAAGGTATAAGATCAGATTAGCCGCCGGGTAGAACGGTTAACCGCGGTTAACCATTATACCTGGGCTAGGCCTAAAAGGGCTAGATTAGGCAGATAGTAGGCAGAAATAGGCAGAGATCAGGTATAAATCAGGCAGAGATATTCGGCGAGTTAAACTAATGCATTAGAAATAGTTTTAAAGGATAATAGACAGAAAACTCTATATTAAACATAGCTATATAAAGTCAATATCCCATCCACACTGTATAAGTAGACGAATCCATTGTGTTTAGTGGTTGATTCCTTACCTAGTCGACAGGCCTTCTACCCTGACAAGTAGATCCTATCACATTCTTACATCCAGAATCTTAACAGTAGTATTCTTGCTATGACCCTGTCCTACCTCTATCTTATATATCAGATACTATTACTTTTAGAAGATCTCTAGCAATATTTTATTCTAGAAGTATAATAGCTCTTTTACTTCGTCACTGACTGTATTATCAGGAGAAAAAGTCCTTCAGGAATCGAATTATCTCCTTAGAATCAGAGAACCAGCCAAGATATTCAACCAGATCATGTTTTTTTTTATAGTAGTAGAACCTAGTAAAATATAACCATTAGTTTCAGTATTCAACTTCAGATCTAACTACTTCTCACCATTTTCAATAATCCCGCGTATCATCTAAGCTAGACTAGATCTTCAGACTATAATGTTTTTATCAGAGCTACAAGATATTAGAGGACTCAGCCTCCTCAAGATAGTACAATACAGTAAGCTCCTATTCTTCCTCCTTATCATCTAGAATAAAATCATCATCAGAATCATCAGAATCATTACCACTGCTAGCTAGCTCAGATATACTCTCGAAGAGATTATCAGTAGCATCGTCTAAGAAGACATCCGGAAAGTTGCTACTCGTGCTGCTGTCATCATCAGACCCGACCAGCTGAGATGAGCACCGCATGGCAGACAAAAGACACACGGGAAGAAGGTGCTTAAATATAAGAACTGTTGAGGATGATGAAAGACTAGCTTCTCCATCTGTTTTGAAATAGACAGTAAGAGACTTGTGGGTGGTGTGTGTCGCTCGAAGGCGAAGGGAGAGAGGTGTAAGAGCGCCATGACCATCAAGGCCTTTATAGAATCAGAGCGAACAAGATGGTCGCCAGGGGAGCCGAAAATCTATATTCATCTGCATGCCGTCTCATCGAGGACATTCTGATGACACCCGGCGCCTTCAACAGCGATGGTGCGGTTTCAACCAGGAGTTGATGACCCGGACGTCGGATCATCCAGTCCGGTGACAGGCGACTGTAGGTAACTCAATAGTCCCGCATTTGTCAGGTTTATGTCAGACGTTTTGCGCTTGTTCGCTGAGTGGAATCGCCAAGTTGACACAGATGAGCAGTTGAGAAAGGCTGCTATCCTGAAATGAACGATGGAAAATCATGTAACGTTCCTGGGATTGACAATGATCCCGTGTACCAGAATGTGATCGTCTGCTCAGCGATGGAACAGTACACTGATCAAGTCCAAAGAGAGGGAGCCTAGCTGCGAACCTGCTCGTTCCTGTGTGACCAAGACATAACAGCTTTGTTGTCTTTTGCGGATTGCCAATAGATTAATGCGTCTCCGCATGCCCAGACTATAATTGCTAGCCTGAGTACAGGCTGTGATCGACTTTGAAGCAATGACCAATCGGTTGATTGATATTTTCGCGTATACTTTGGTCCACTTGCAGCCAACCATGCGAGGAAGGAATTAGTGAGGTTCGCGCTGTACGATAATCTAGAACCCGGAATCATCTGTGATCTTTGCGAGCTGCAGGCGCTTATCGCTCCCGATCTCAGAGCGCTCCTTGGTCAGGAAACCATACTTCAGGATGCTCCCCTGCTTCATGCCCGGGTCGATGATCTTCTTCCGCGGGCCTGTCCTGCGCGCGGTCTTCTTCGGTGCATTGGCTTTTTCGGCCTTCTCCGCTTCCGCCTTCTTCCAATTCTCCACGACCTCTGGAATTCCTAAATCCGCCAAGGTCTTGGAGATCCACACTTTTTCGGGGCAGTAGGGGTCGTAGCGCTTCGTGACACGTTTTTTTATTGTTGTTTGAGGGGCAGGCTCGGCATTGTTCTCAAGATCTTCGTCATCCTCTTCCGCTGAGGCTGCTGTTTCCGGCGAAGGAAATGGAGGGTTTGGCTCATCTGCCATTATGTCCAAGCCGACGACGTCAACAGGGACAATGTCAACCTGATACTCCGTCGAGCCATCCGTGCTATAGACCTCTCGGCACTTGTAAATCTTCTGCATCATCGGGACGTCGCTACCAGAGAGCCTTGGCTGGTTTGCGCTGAAGGCTGAGACCTGTTTTCCAAGGCGGAGCCTGTAGCAGACGAGAGGTTCAGCAAGTAGTTTGGTCACTTTCCTGGCCCCAGAACGATAGTTCCAGTCGAAAGTGTCAGCGGCGAATCTTCTCAGCTCGACCGCGTCAATCTCTTTATCCCATGCATATTCCAAGCGTCGCCGTAGGAAGCCGATTTCACTCGTTGTCGACACCACGGGCTTGGCATAATACGAGAGAATAGTCTTGTCCGGAAAAGTCTCCGGAACTCGAACAACCTTGTGCTTGGTTTGGAAATAGCCGCTTTCATTCTCCTCGAGTTCATATTGAAGTCTTTCTCTCCATTCTCTCAAACGCTCCTCCATGTCGGGGCCATTTGAGTCGAGAATCTCCAATAAATCTTCACCAAAGCCCGCCTTTGCGATCTCACCAGCCAGTTTGCTTCCACATTTCGGAACCCCAGAGGGCAGATAATCACCACCGCTCAGCATAGCAAACAAGATCATGCCTGCACGATCGAGCATCACTTTGGAAGGCGATTCGGGTGCTATGCTGTCCATGCTGTAGCATGTGACATGGGTCGCCGCAGCCGTGCCGGTGCCGCTCTCTTTTGAGAAGTTCATTACTGTGAAGGTGGATCCGAACATCAAGGCATCCACATCATTGCTCATGACCGCATCAACTACGCCGACTTTCTGCAGTCTGGCGCACTCGGCCTCAGCCTCTCCGGGCGCATCATGGCGCGGAAAACGAAATAGGTCCACCAGGATCTTCGACAAGCGAATAATCGGCGCTTTCCCATGATTTGACATTGTCACCGCGCGACCCCTCTTGAATGGTGGCTTATGCGGGCCATCATAAACAAAGAGCGGATGAATTGGCAGTGCCAGGATCTTGAGTAGGCGGTAGAACAAGGTGCGCAGTTCGGGGTTCCGGCCGCCTCGGGCGCTTCGTACTTGAAAGAGCCAGATGGAGATATCCACTGCCACTCGGATGGGCCTCGCATTGCGCTCCAAATGTCCTATAGCCAACTTGGACAAGGCGATGCGCTCCCCAGTACCAATCGCTTGGGTAAGACTTTTTGAAGATCAATGTTAGCAGAAATAATTGTGTGAATGGTCTGGAATGGACGTAAGTGACGGTGATTGACATGTCTCTGTTTCGTGGGTCCACGTGCGAACGGGGAAAGTCGAGATAACCGGCAATGCGGAGAAAAGAGAGGGAGGTTTCTGGGTTCACTTACCCTGGGATCCCCATTCTGACTGCGCTCCTGTTTTCAGAGCCCGCGAGCAGCCCAAATACAAAAAAAGCAAGAAAAGCCCAATCTGCGGCAAGTCGCTCTCCGAAAGGCCCACCAGAAGGCCAGTGAAAAGGAGGAGAGGGCAGGAAGAGAGAAAACAACACTGATTGATGGTTGAGTTGTCGTTTTGACGGCGATTGGCGCGGCCCGATGTAGATCCGCCCGCCTTTGGAGACATTCAGACATTCACTCCGTCGCGACTGCTTCCTCCTCTCGCCGGGTTTCTTTGTCGCGCTGGATTTGGTACAATCGCCCCAATCTTCTGTGGTGAAAGAGTATCACTTGACCGTCAAAGCGCCCCAGAAGATTCACAAGCAAAGCGAGCATGATCGGTGCCTGTGGCAGCACTCCGTCTCCCGAACCTTCCCCGCGCCAAATCTGAGGAAAGAGCACAATAAGGAGAACGACGTCCAGCTCCCTGACAGGGAGCTAAAACAAACACCTCGAGCATGGCCAGCACGTCTTTCTCCAATTCTGGCTATGAAGACAACAAGCGTCCATTCTCCATGAGCAGTCTGCGCGGAGCCCCGGCCTCCCCCCACACCCCACAACACCATCTGCGATCCAACAACTCCTCCTTCGCCAGCACCACCTCGAGCACTTCTTACCGAGGCGAGGAGGATGCCATTATATTTGAGTTCGGTGCCCGCTGGCTTCGGGCTGGCTTTGAGGGCGAGAGCGTGCCAATGTGCGTGGTGGGCTGCGGCCCGGAAGAATGCCGCCGCGTCGGCGACTACCGCGGCTGGTTGAAGTCGAACAACCCGGACACTGACCCGGGGCAGTCACGCCCGCTCGTCAACGCGGAGGACTGGGCGAGCGCTTACGAGCTCTGGAATATGGATCTCCGGGCGGTCGATCTGGGGCTCGTGGAGGATAAGATTGAGCGGATGTTCCGAGAGACATACAACAAATACTTATTGACGGATGCGGGCACGTCGCGGTTGGTGCTGGTGCTCCCTGCGATTATGCCACACCCGCTGCTATCGTCCTTGTTGTCGACGCTGTTCAGTCGGTGGCGCTTCCCAAGTATCACGCTGTTGACCAGCGCTACGATGACGGCGACGGCGGCCGGGGTGCGCTCTGCCTTGGTGGTGGACATTGGGTGGGCGGAGACCGTGGTCACCGGCGTGTATGAGTATCGCGAAATCGCAATCAAGCGGAGTACGAGAGCGATGAAAGCACTGCTGCAGGAGACGGGTCGGTTATTCACAAACATCCCCACGGTGCGTGATGGAAGGTCTCAGGCGGCATCGCGCGATGAGGGAATCTCAGTGCAGTTTGAGTTTTGTGAGGAGGTCGCCAGTCGATTTCTATGGTGTAAACCCCGGGAAAACGCCTCGGCAGAATCGCAGCAGCAGCAGCAGCAGCAGCAAGAGCAAATACAAATACAACCCAGCCCTGATGAACCCCCCGACCCAACTACACAACCCCCCTCCTCCTTAACCTCCCTCTTGCAACGCACCGTGGAGATTCCTTCTCCGTTGCACCCAAGCTCCGCCTACATCGAACTCCCCTTTTCCACCTTTGCCGAACCCGTCGAAACCGTCCTCTTTGCTGCCGGCACAGCAGACTGTGAGCTTGACGACGAAGAGAAGCCCCTCCCACTCCTGATCTACAACGCCCTACTCGCCCTCCCGCCCGACGCACGCGGCACCTGCATGTCACGTATGATTTTCACCGGCGGCGGCGCCAACATCCCTGGAATCCGACAGCGGATCCTGGCCGACGTCGCGGCTCTCGTCGCCGAGCACGGCTGGTCCCCTGTGCGTGGCAAAGTCATCGAGCAGCAAAGACGCAAGCTCGCCAACCTGCGCCTTTCTCACTCATCCCGGACCCGACGAGCTGCGTCCCAAATCCCGACTTCTCCCCTGATCACCACCCTCAGTGATGCAACCCAGTCCGCCACTTTCCCTGAAGATCCAGCTCTCGACCCGGAACTCCACCCAAACACAACCCCGAACCCCGAATCAGAGGCAGAGGCAGCGCCCGCAGACAACTCCAACCAGCAACCGCAGCAACAACCGACCCCCCTTCCAAACTCCGAATCCGAAAAGAAGGACGCGGAGCATCAGCAAGAGCAGGAGGAGGACCTTGAAGACCCCATCGAGCAAAAAATCCGCCGCAACAACCGCGACCGCGACCGCGACGCGCTCCCGCCCTCCGTGCAGGGCGTGCTGCGCGAAGTCGAGTCCCTCGGCCCCTGGGCCGGCGCCAGCTTGACTACCAGCCTCAAGATCCGGGGAATGGTGGAGATCGAGCGCGAGAAGTACCTCCAGCATGGGCTTGCGGGGGCGAGTCGCGAGTTCGAGGCCCATGGACATGCCCCCGATCGCCGGTCAGGGTTGAGGGCTGGGGGTGGTGGGGATCGGTCGAGTTGGACTTTGGCTGGGTGGGGGTGAATTTTTTTTTTTTTTTTTTTTTTTTTGCAGCGGTGCGAAATGTATTGATGATTGAGGGAGGTTGGTAGGTGGGGATGGGGATGGGGGAGTTGGTTTTAGTCAGTCACAGCGTTGCTAAACTCTTTCATTTGCATGCATGCATCTGGTATACCCATCTTACGATATGTATTCAATTTTTACTAGATTTCCAAGGTTGGATTCAAGGTGTTCCTCTTTTCGCACCAAGAGAGTAAATCTGGAGAGTCAGATGGTCGGAGTACCTAATTATTGCAACCTACCCCAAAGTGCCGGAGTAGTGGCTCTTAATTAGATCATGGATGTATGTACATGGTTGCAGGCGAGATGTCTACATCAGAAGGAACTTTGAGAACCAGAGGAGGTGCAAGAAAGAAACCAAGGATCTCGCACGAGGTCATGTTAAAATTCCCGCGAAACAGATCTTTGTGAAGTCGCTAATGAGATCCGACGCTCAAAGCAAAAAGGAGAGCCTTTTTTTTAGTAGCAGCCACCGCCCTAAACCGTGCCGAAGCGGTAGGTGGCGTAGTTGACGGACGGACCGGTCTCGGGCGAGTAGATCTGATCCGGCAGCTGACCCCATTGCGGGTTGTTGATGCCATCGATCCAGCCCTCGGTCTCGATCACCAGGCAGCCGTACTTGTTGACGTACTCGGCGCCACTGATGCCCTCCGCCTCGTTGGTCTTGATCTGGGAGTCCTTGATGGGGATGGTGCCGTTCTGGCCGTTGCAGGAGTAGATCTGCAGGGCCTGCTGGTTGGTGGCGACCTCGAGGCTGATGCCGGTGGTGCTGGAGTTGAGGCGAACGATGGGCACAACGGAGGAGGCGGCGGCGTACTGCGGCGGCCGGTCGACGATGAAGCAGTTATCGTAGCCGGTGCAGTTCGAGCCGCAGAGGTGGTAGGCCTCCTCGATGTCCTGGCCGACCAGCTTGCCGGCGGTGAAGTCCGCGGAGCCGTTGTAGGCGGTGCTGACGTCGAGGATGCTGCCGTCGGGGATGAGGATGCCGTCAGTGCCGATGAGGCGCCTGGACAGAGGCAGTTGCAGCCAGGTGTCTTCGAGAATGGTCTCATTCTTGAACGCGTTCAGGTTCCAGTAGATGTGGTTGGCAAGCATAATGGGGGTGGTCTCCGTCAGAGCCAGTGCGACCAGCTTGGTCGTCAACTGGGGCAGGCCCTTGGGGTTCTCGGTGGTGGCCTCGGTTTGGACGCTGAATGTGGCATGAGTGATCACATCCCCAGGGAAGTTCTCGAAAGCACGATCGACCAGGGTGAAAGTGATGGAAGAGTTGGAGTACGCGGTGACGGTCCAGTTGCGGCCATCGTAACCCAGTGGGCCGCCGTGGAGAGTGTCTTCGCCACCGTTCTCGTTCTCGGGGATATGGTACTCCTCGGTGCCAATTGTGAAGGTCCCGTTCTTGATGCGGTTGGCGTACCGGCCGACGACCGCCCCGAAGAAAGTGCGGTTGGTCTCCGTGTCTTGGAGGTAGCGCTTCGGGTCGTCGTAGCCCACCACCACATCCTGGAAGTTTCCATCGCGGTCTGGGACCTTGAGGGACGTCAAGCGTGCGCCGTACGGAATCAAGGTTGCAGTGATGTTCTCTGCGCTGATGGTGTAAGCCTTGAATGGGTCCGTCGTTGCTGCTACTGCAGCTTGAGACAGAATGGGCAACCCATAGAGGGCGGCGGACAGGTAGCCCTTGAAATGCATTCTGATTCCGAGAAGCGTGGTTACCGCAAGGCACAGGAGACAGTACACGAGCAAGATCCGTGGAGTGACGCGGGAAGGGCAGAGGGTAGAACGGAAACAACCGAGCAGCTGGGGAAGTCCCTGGCGGGTTGTGGAGGATGGTCCCATCGTCCTTATTTAACTTCTCCACATTGGGGCTCCTCTACCTCATGGCGGTGCACCTGACCGCCGGCCGAGGAGGCGGGGAGGCCAAGCACGCAGGAACTGGGAGGAATATGCCGCTTAGTCCTGGTATTCATGGTTAACTAGCTCATCCTGTGAATTGTCCGACGGGGGGGGACATCGTCATCTTACCCAGGAATTGGGAACGGCAAGCCGCGTCAATCTGTCAGGGGGACAGATGCCAAGTCTGTGAGTGGCTAGTCAAGCTACACCCGCAAAGTCAAAGCTCTGTTGCCCCGAGGATTGAGGTGGTTGGGGTGAATTGTGACGGGAAAAGTTAGTCCGCGTCTCACCACCTTAGCTCCAGATCTGGAGATGACGTGAAGCTCCGGAAGGAAAATGAGGGGAAAGCGGGGACAAGGCAAGCAAGCGGTGATATCAGACCGGAAGCAGACAAGTGGAATTAGGCAAAAGCAGGGATAGTAAGTGAATGCTGGATGAGTGGGTTGGAGGTCGAAGGATGAAGCCACGGAAGCTGGGCCAACGAGAGGAAAAGGGGGTCCAAGCCATGGGGGTTCATAGCCACTAGTCTGGTTCGGGCATATTCCGGTGGGGGAATGGAATCTTTTTTTTTTTTTGCGGGGAAAATCTAAGCTTGTTACGTACGGAGTACTAAGTTAGTTGAGCTTACTGTGACACTGTCCTACTGTGTCCAGCACTCCAGCGCAGTCAACAGTAAGAGCACACTTGTCTACACTTGTCTACACTTGTCTCCTTTTCGCAAGGGAAAGTAGTCGGACAAGCTTCTGCCCTGTAACTTACAGTACACTTCCGACTCCCGAGTCTGAGCATCAAGCAGAGACACAGACAGCTGCACAAGCCATGACATGATGTTGCATGAGGCATGAGCAATTATCTGGGCTATTAATCGCTGACTTACGAATAAGTGGAACACAGTAGTAACTTATACCTAGTACGCAGAATGGGTGCTGCTGCAAGCAGCCATTGCATTGTTTGACCAGGTTGTGTGGCCTCAGGCATCTATTGCAAGCAGAAACAGTTCGCTTTGGATTACATAATGTCAGTGTTGTCCTCAGGCCTCAAAGTCCACACCCGGCCTCCATTGGGAGACTTGTTTATGTTATGGATGGATGATCACTCAGTTTCCCCCTTCCCCTCATCGTGGAACTAGTGAGTCCTGTCCGAACATTGAGATTCGCGCCTTGCTTGATTTATGCTTGTGTCTCCCATGAGATCAAAGCCGCTGTCTAGCGCCCGGCGGTGGTTGATCCTGTCTGTTCAAATAGACGCGACGGGCGAAACTTGAGAGTCGCCCCTCCCATGGCCTGCAGCTGTCTTTATACCCCGATATGTCCTCTAGCACCTCGAGCTCCTCCCCGGACATTCTTGGGCCATCTGGCGATAGTGATTATCTAATCTCCTCGCCCTTCAAACCGTTCACGGGCCGTCAGAGCTTCATGTCGCCTGCTGACTTTAACCTCCTCCAGAGTCCGCGGACGACAAAACGGAACAGACGCTCGCGGCTCAACCTCACCTCTGGTGCCCATTCCTTCGAATTCAACGATGTTGTTCTCCCGGCCTCGCCGAATCTGAAACGAACCGGGAAACAACAAGCTTTGTCCCCCGATAAGCTTCAGTCCGATGGGAATGTCAGTCCCTGGAGGATTCGTGTGACTTTGGAAGCCACGCAAGATCAGGAGAACAACAACGATTACGGAAGCCCGACGCGAAATCGGCCCAGGCCATCGACCATGACCACAAAAATACCACTCAAAGATGAATCCGAGCAGACGCCTCGAAGGCGCAGAGGCCGCCCAAGGAAGTCCGATACACTATTACTGGATGCCATTCCAGCCGCGGGCAGCCCTGGTCATACGCCAGGTCCACCTGGGTCCGTGCAGAAGAGAAAACGTGGTCGCCCCAGGAAGACCCCGCTGAAGCCGGCTGCGGCGACGCGACTAGAACGCGAAATGGGAACATTAGACATTGAGATGGATACTCCAACCGCTGAGTCTCGATCGCGTTGGAGCCCCTTGGATCTTGCCGGAGACGCAGGGTCAGACGGGGATGATGTCGGTTCTCCCGAAGACGAAGAGATGGTCGATATCTTCGAGGATGAGCTCTCTCCGGAACAGCCTGCAGTGGCCACCCGCAACAACACCACTCCGCGCGTGGCATTCGAACCCACATATGATACCCCAAGTGTTGACCATCTAGACAACGAAGAATACAACTTGAATTCAACCCCATCTAAAATGCCGTCTCCCGTGCGCGAAGCACAGCCCAGCGCTTCCCAAAGCACATTACATGCTGGTCATACACCCAGACCGCCACGCCTATATCCCACTCCAACAACATCTTCACCAATTCTGGGGGAGGAGACGCAGGAGCATACTCAAAAGACGACTGCGCCTAGCAGTAGTCGCCGTGCAAGTAGATTGTACAGGAGGAACGATCCGACGGATGTACATAAAGAATTCGACTCAATCATGGAAAGTGAAGGATTCAGTATGGTCTCACTGGACACTCTTCCATCGGCTAAGCAACACGGCATCGGCGGTGATGTTAATGAAAAAGTCGCCAAGAATGCTCTCAAGCCTTTCCTGAAGCGAGAATCCAACGGCGTCCTAAAGCAGAGAACATCGGTTTCCCCGGCCATTAATGACGATAACGGTTCCGCCTCTCGCCCAGAACTGGAGCCAAGACCGGAGAATCAGGCTGAAGACTATCCTCGCATGCGCTCCGCTCGCTCCGTCGAATCCGATTCTTCCGCTCAGCGCGCATCTGGCGCTAGACCAGCCTCGACGCGAAATATGCGCTCTTCCTCTGCCGGTTCGACATCGCAACCCGGCCAGAGAGGGCAGAGGCCACTGCTTAGGCTTGTCCGCATTGTACGCGCAGGTATCATTCTGCAGGGACCTCTTACCGAATCGAAGGAGCAGCGTTTTGCACGAGATCCTAATTCCGCGCTAACCGCGAACCAACAGCGGTTGCAACTTCTTTTCCGAGATTTGAATCCTCAAAGTCAGCAAGTACTGCGGGCAGGCTTAGCTTTTGGACTTGAACTTGCGAAGCAGAGACTAGCGGAAAAAGGCATACAGCAAATAGCAGCAGACGCTGAGCTGGATGTGCAAACGGCACCACGGAGCAGAGAGGCCACTTACTCCGAGTCACCCCAGCAGGCGCTGAGCGGGGCAGACTTTGATACCCCCGGCTCAGTCATGAGGCAACGGATGGAAGAATGGCAACGTGAAAGGGACGCCATCAGTCGAGAAATCCAAATGGCGAACTCCAGTCAAGTCATTGTGATCGATAGCGACAGGAGTGACCAGTCAGATGTTTCAGTCGAGCATGAAGAATACGGGAACGAGGCGGATGATTTCAACAATGAAGCCGAGACCGCACGGAAACAGGATGCCCACGTAGAGTCAGACCAAGCGAACGAGGAAGATGACGATGAGGGTTACGAGGACATTTGGCAGCAAGAGGCAATGGAGCAAGGCAACCAATCGCATCACTTGTCTGTGCATGACGAGAATTGGAATGACCTTCAACCTCGAGAGGGCGAGATCAGCCCTTGGAAAACCGGTTGGACCCCCGCACGCAGTCAGGCAGGGGGACTATACTCTCCGGCTCACTGGACTAAAGAGCACGAAACAGTGCCATTTCTGGGCCGTTCAAGAGTCACGCAGCTGCGGGAGGCAGAGGTGGATCTTACAAACCTATACCGCGCCGATCCCACTCCGAAGCGTCGCCGCTACTACTATGGAAATAGTTCTCCTTCGAGTAGCGCAAAGGGATCACCGTCAGAAGGTGGCTCGCCATTAGATCAAGCACCCGATCGGCAAGACTTCCACGATGATGCGTCCGAACATGAGCATCTGTCAGAACACTCGATCGAGTTTGGCTCTCACAGTGACTTGGAAGACGAAACGTTTCAGATTGACCCCACCACTAGATTGGAGATGGCGAGACAGAACGGTAGAGCAGAAAACATCAGAGATAATGTCGAAAGTCTTGCCGATGCCGCTGTAGCCGAGGGGCAAATCTCTGGAGCTGCAGCGGACAACACTCCCGAACCCCCACGACGAGCCAGCCCAGAGAACCAAGCATCATCCTGGTTTCAGAAGATTACTAGCCTGACACCTGGATGGCTCAGAGCGCCCAAATCTCTCAGACTAGCTTCCCCAAGAGAGAAGAGTTCAGTAATCCACGACGATGACGACAACGACGACGACGACGAAGCAGCAACCACGACAAGACCACCACATACTCGTGATGATGCCTACTCGGAGCGCATAGAGGAAAATCTACCAACGTCGTCCGGACGACAACGCTTCGGCTTCTACGATTCATTGGAAGATACGCGAGACCCTTTCTACGAAGAAGTTAGAGAGACAAGGCACAAGCGTCCAACCACTCGCTACTCCGGGCAGTTTTCGGATGACCACTATCGCTTATTGCATAATCTTTACCGCATGTCTAAGAAGCATCCTGAACGCTTCCCTTATTATCCGGCTGCTGGCCGTACCGATATCATTGGGGATTGGATCTGGACGTCAGACGGAGTCTTCGGTGTTCCGGTCACGGAGGAACAATTTGCAGTCATTGACAGGTTCGCTCAGCAGGTCTCTCGAGACGACATCATGGCCGGCGGCACGGGTCAGATTACTTGGACGGAGGCCGACTTGCATAGAAGATTAATCAGCATTATCATTGGCGAGCAGATTAGAAAGGAACGGCGGCCGATGCGCTACAGGGATCATCCGGGGAGAGGCAACCCTCGAGGCAGGGACACAGTCTATGAGACGTGGCGCAGATGAAGGTCCAGAGCTGCACGTCGCTTGGTCACTGACGTGCAAACCCCGACATAATGATTGTCTGGAAACCAGACTTGGTCTCCGCTGGCACCTGAGCTAGCGTATGCTGCAATGAGTTCTATTCTTGATGCAACTTTTCGGGTCGTTACGGAGTGGCAAAGCGGTGGCCGGGGTGAATTTCTCGTTCGCATTGAGTTGGCAGGCTTACTTTTTCCCTTTCCGCGTGCTTTTTTGGTATTGCACGTACTTTGCACATGTACAGTACTATTCCCCCTTGCTCTTTGGGTTCTTTAGGTTGGGCGTCTAAGGTTGGCCGCGGACGAGTCAGCCGCCAGAGCATTCATTTCTTGCTTCTTGTTAATATATGGATTGAACTCCTGTGACATCATTGGTGTATGGATTTGACTTTTTTCGCACTCCAGCGTATGCTCTCGATCTGGTTTGCAAACCTTTTTTCTGATTGTCAACTCGTCAATGCCGTGTGTAGGAAGAAAGTTCGAGTATGTATCCCGTCTATCTGACCAAGATCTCTCCCGCGGAACGTACTCCTCCTGCGGAAAAGAATGTTTGCCTTGCAACATTTCTCTCGCTTCTTCGCTTCTGAGCAGTTCCATGGTCTTCCCTGATCGAGTCAGTGTGCGTGCAACCCAAGGCCGGACCATGTGCCACGTTTCCCTGCTCCTCCAGATGCAGTTGCTGAAGGGTCTGAAGGACTGGTAGGGTCCATGACATGCCTGACCAGTCTCAATTCTGCTGTGATTGGGTGCATTTGTTGTAGTTTCGACTGCGCTTCTGCAGGCATCAGGACGGGTGCCAGCCAAGCACAAAGAGACGAGACACACGAGTTCTAGCCCCCCATCCCTTCTTTCAAGGCCTGAAGTGAGAGTTGTACGTTTGTCTCTTATGGCGCCTAATTGAGAAAATTGCGGGTCCGTTTCCTATCATTCTGTTGAATCGCTGCAGGATGATGTCCCGTTCTTTCAGGAAGTGAGCAAGCCGTGGATGAAGAGGTTTTAGATCTGAGATATAAGAAAGGTAAATGCCAGATGAAGGCGAGAAGGGAAAGAGGCGGGTTCATATCTCAGGCTCAGACACAGACGAGACCAAGTCACACGCGAGTCATCCGAAGCAGCAGACCAGGGTGCCTTGCAGAAATACCTCAGGCTCTTGTTCTTTCTGCCTTTTTTGTCTGTTTCTCTTTTCTCCTCTTTCACCACAGAGAGGACCCTTGGCCGGCAAGCAAATAACCACTTTGTTTACACCGTGGCCCAACGGAGGCGACGCAGACGAGACGCACGACCCAGGAAGGGAAGGTCATCCCATCCTGCCCTTCACTCTTTTCCTCTGCTTTTTTCATCAATTCTTCTTCCCTTTCCCTTTCTCCTGCGCGCGTTCTTCCTTGTCGTCGACTGGGACGATAGTATACCTTTCTTGAAGATGGGGGTCAGTAACCCGGTCAAATACGTCTTGGGCCTGTCCCTTTTCACCAAACGTCCGGACCAGCGGTCACCGGGGGCAGCGGTGTGGAAAGGCAAGGCCATCGACCACCATGGGCATGCGCATGAGGTCCGCTGGGGCGGTGCTGTGCAGGACCCTGCCGGTGACGAGGATGCCTTCGTCGCTGCAGCTGTGCACATGGCGGTGAGCGAATCCGACGGGAGCAGATGCAGCGGCAGCAGTAGCCGGAACAGCAGCGACAGCAGCGGCAGTGGCAGCAGCAGACGGCAGTTTGGAGTCGTGCGTGTCGTGAGCTGGGCAAGTCTGGTTGGCGAGCGATGTCGGTGGACGATGAGGCAGGAACGCGAGTTGGCGATCGCCGAGCTGGAGTTGGCTCGCTGTCAAAAGGCCTGGAGTTCGGAGCAGGAGTTATGGTTGACTCAGGTGAGTTAACGGGTGATTCATGCATTTCGAAACTTTCTTCTTTTGCTCTTTCTCCACTCTATACCGAGCCAAGCGCTGGGAAAAAAAAAGTAGGGGCGGAGCGAGTGCCCAAGGAGGGTTTCGTGGTACCTGAATGAACAAACCCTAACTAGTCACCAGATCAAGGCTCTTCACGAGGAGAAAGAGGCCCACGAAGAGTTTCTCCATCACCGCGCGAAGCAACAGGATGAGGAACAGCAACATTTTCGCAAGTCGTGGAATCGACGTCGGTCCCAGGAGGAACCGTCGCAACATCCGCCTCAGCCTCACTCACAACCACCCCAGCGAACCACTTCTACACATCGGGCGAACAGCAAATTGCGACGCGGTATTCGGCGCATGGGATCATAAAACGTCACCGATGGTCTAGCCTGAAAACTGGCAACACTCGACAACCCAGAAAAAAAAAAGGAGGTAGGTATTCCATCGCAGCTGAGGCTCGCACACGCCCCGAATCCAGCATGAAACGATGATCCATTTCTGACAGGTCTCGCTGGACAGGCTTGACATAGGTATTCTGGCAACAGAATAGGAAAAGAAAGAAAGGAGCAGAACGCTTTAGTACTCAACTTTCACGACCGGTGACATACTGACAAGCCTTTCCTGGCATAATTGTGATCAGCCCTGCAGGATCGTCTCTCCTTTCCTGGATGAACAGGCGAGATGAAGTCGGGAAATTCACTAGCTTGGAGACTCTTCTCTGTCTCTTGATTTAAAGATTTGCATCATGTGCCTCTTTTTTTATTTTCACTCATTTTCATTTTTCTTTCAAGGGACCTCTCTGCCTCACCATGGATGGTGATCCAGATAGATCATCAGATGCACATACTCGCAACTGCAACTTCGGCCCGCCTCCAGTGGAGGAATGAATTCCATCTAGCAACTTGATCGTCTGATACTATTGTTTTGTCCGGCACAGCGAGTGAACAAGCAGAAGAGAGCGCCAAAAGCACGGGTACAAATTCATCTCCTTCTTGTTTTCTATTTTCCTGTATTGTCTTTATTGTCCAGCCTTGGACACTCGATGTCACTACTATGGATGTACTACGTACTGTATCATTCGTTTCTTTTCTTGCCGCATCTGCAGTGGCTGTCGTCGCATGGAGACCAGGGGTCATCATGTTGCACCGCATCGCATCGTTCTTGTCATGCGTGATCGATCTCCGTCTGTTGATCTAGCATATGCATCCGAGCCGCCAATTCCAATTTCTCCTTTGTTTCAATCAGAAAGGAAACCGTAGCCTGGATACAGCGCTGCTATGAGATTGTGGGATTTCCATGGGTAGTCTATTTTTGTCACAGCGTGAATCATTAGTCACTCTGGGGAAAATCCCGCTAAAGACGATCTCAGACGCTTTGAGCCAGCGATAATCATGCCGCAGTCATGGCACAGTACGGAGTACTTTTGACGCTGTGTCCTAAATCATCTCTGGACTAATTTGACTTAAGGGAAACAAAGGGCGGCGCTGCCCCGGCGGAGCGGCGAGGACCGATCGCGCTTCGAGATAAGGAGTCGGCGGTAGTTCGTTCCTACTATCTTACTAAGTTACAGTAGTTATCTACAAAAGTACCGATTTACTACTGTGGTTAGTTTAGTCCGCTAGTACCCAGCTGGGCCTGGAGATAAGGCAGAAGAACTCACATATCCTTCTCTATGAAAAGTCCAGACTGGATTCCCCGCGCAAGGACCACACATGACCCCCGACGTCCACTTCCTGTCGAACCGTCTATAATGTGCAGTACGTAGTAAGTGATCGGTTTGATCTTTGTCTCAGGGAGCGTATGCAGCCTGCCTGATTCAGCCCTCTTGACACTGATCGACTTAACATGTTCAACTGTAAGACCCGGGGTTCGGGACTAATTACCAGTGGTGCGTAGTTACCGATATTCCCTGGTAGAAAGGCCTTGATGAACGGCGAGCGGCTTATCAGGGGGGCCAGCACTGTGACTAATGAGCGCATTCTCATGAGTAAATTCCATTGTCAGAGGGAGGATTGGGGAAGAGACGAAGACTTGAACTGATAAGCATGTATCTCGGAATGACGAATAGGCGGCAGCGATAGGACTTGGTCCAGTTTTAGGGGGATGGCTTCCCTTCAAGGTTGGCTTTGGTTTTACCGTTGATTCTCTTCTTCAACGAACTTGTCTCTTGTGGCGTGTGGCCGAGCCCCAGGATGAATAGTAGTGTCTGCCACGCTCTCTGCCACAAGTTCTTCACACGCGTTGATGCAATCAACGAAAGACAGAAGACCTTCCTGGATTCCTGTGCGCCACGCCACGTTTCTTCTTCCGGTATTGAAGAGCGGCAGCCGCTTGGCTAGTGATCGATAGACAATTCGACCGACGCGCACCCTTGCTGGTTTCGAATGGAACGGACTCATGATGGATGGCATAAGTTGTTTTGTTCCTCGTCGAATCGACATGTACAAAATTCCCGGTTGGGATTAGTGCCCGGTGGCCTGAAATGTTTCTCGAAGCTCTTTCTTTCTTTTCTCCATCCATCAAGTTTTTCTTATCGGCATCATTCATCGGAGATCCGGACAATTCGAGTAAATTCACCCGCATAGCCATGCTAGACTGCTATCAATTCATCGAGGGAGAGGCGGATTACACCGTCTGGTCAGGATCGAGACTCGCCCCTAACCTTGGTGTTGAGTACAAGAAGTTACTGACTCGAACCTCTCATTCCCCACTCACATACGATCCACCGGCCTGGCCACGCTTCCGTGGAAGATCCCCTGCCCACTCGCAACCAGGTGTTCTTCCTCTTTAGTGAGTGCCTTGACTCGCCATCATCGTGTCGCACTAAGAACTGCTTGTTTCCTTCTGCGTGGGTGGTCCTGGCGGCTTCAAAGCATAGACCAACTCCGATGCCCGTCACACGGGCTCGAACACTTATCAGCTGTCGCATAAACCCGTGCAAAAATGGAGTAGATGCTTCCAAAGAATAGAATGAATTTTCTTTCTTCGTCTATGCCTCTTTCTCTCTTCTCAGCCTTCTTTGCTCATGAAGACTATTGATTGGGGACCCCCCTCCTCAATAATACCATGGATGAACCACCCCTTGCTGTTTGATAAGGCTCGTGTCAACCACTTGAGTTCCTGTATCCCCGATATCTACGCCCTTTAAGTTTGATGTTTATTGATATTGTCGAAAACAATTTATTATTTGTAATTTATTTTTATTGTTATTATTATTATTTCTTCTTATTTCATCTTCGAGGTTCCTATCCTGGAGAGGGTGTGGGGTGCACGTCTCTCTGTCTGTCTGTCTCTCTCTCTCTCTCTCTCTCTCTCTCTCTCTCTCTCCATCCACTTCCTTCATCTTCCCCTCACCCTCCCCTGATCTTCCATTTCGGGGTTCGTTCAATGCTCGAAACGTCTGCATGGCAGCCACCACTGACTGATCTCTCTGCATTGAGACATGTTCGTCCTACTTGAATGTCGCCGGAAATAGTATCTCATTGTCACGCTCCCCTTTTTCTTGTCTAGTTACGAGAGTATATTAGATGTCCGCCCCCGCTTGTGGGGAAGCTTCCTCCCTCGACGACCCGGATCGCCATGAGTCTGAAATGTCCGCCCCCGTCACCTCCCTGTGGTGGCCAGAGGATCGCGTGAAAGCCACCCTCTGCCCGGAATATGTCTTTAGCCAGCTTCCTTCCCATGTCTTGCACCGTCTGGTCGCTTCGCTGCCCTGGGGAGAGGGCTTGACCAGCGAATCCTACCTCGACTGCATCATTGCCAAGGCGGGCAGACTCTTTCTCATCCTCGTCGACATCGGCATCCCCGATCGGATCTTCACCTTGATCGATGAGTCTCTGGATGACTCGGATCTGCCGTTCTCCGCCTCCAGCGTCAAGCGCCTGCCGCTATCTGCCGAGGACCCGGATCCCGATCTCGATCATAGGTTCTTCCTGGCTCAATGGCGGTTCATTGTACGCGGAATCCCCGCGGGGGACCATGTGAAATACACCCAGAACGAGGGCGTACCGGTCGAGCTGCTACGCACAGGGCCATCCTTGGTAAGAGAAGGCGTTGAAAAGGTGGTGCTGGCCGGTGCGCCCTGTCGTGTCCTCCTGCGCACGCAAGTCACCGTCGGCGGAGCACCGCACTTCTTCGAGGAGAACGAGGTATTGGAGGAGATTCGCTCCTTGAGGCGATTGGCCCATGACCATGTTTACTCGATCTATGCATCCTACTTTGTGGACAACACGGTTTGCATCTTATTCTCCGGAGTCTATGAACGCACTCTCATGTCCTTTCTCACTGACATGCCGCAACCATTCAAGCGTCTCCCGAAAGACAAGCGACGGCAGATATTGGTAAATTGGCCGCATTGTCTAGCCAATGGATTGTCTTGGCTACATGCGCACAGCCACGCGCACAGCGTCATCCGCCCGTCCAACATCTTGGTCGATGCTGAGTTCCGGGTCTACCTAGGTCAATTTGAGGCACTCGACACGCTGCTGTCTCCGGCCAAGCTGGATGACGTTGAGTCATATCAGTATGGGTCCCCAGAGCGCTGGGTGCGCTCGGTGAGCGTTCAAGATACGAATGTCACGCGACCCACGATAAGTCTCCCCTCTGGGAGTCGTTCCGCGCGCAAACAGTCATCCGCATCGTCCACCCGCCCGTCGTTCCTTAGCCTGTCGAGACTCCGCGGCTCTCTGCCGTCGGATGGCGAGACGGACAGTCCACGCGCAGATTCCGTCACCTCGCAAGGCACTGCCATTCGCATTGGCATGCAAGGCTCCTCGTCACGCATCTCTTTCACACAGTCATCCTCCTCCGGATCGAGTACGGGGAGTGTCCGCAAGCGCGCCATCGGATCCATCAAACGGCCCATGTTCTATACGCCCTCCATCACCTCCTCCCACTCCTCGGGGTCGTCTTCCGCTGCCTCTGCGATTTACCACCCAATCGGCTACCCCATCATTGGCACCAACGCTGCCATAGTTCAGACATGGCAAACCCGCCAAACCGACCCGGAAGCCTCCGATATCTTCTCCCTGGGGGCTGTGATCCTCGATATCTTCACCGTTCTCTGCAAGCGTAAGCTGTCCGCCTTCTCGCACCACCGTGGAGCCAAGAATCGCACTGCTGGCCGTGGAGGCGGCGTTGCCGACTGCTCCTTCCACCTCGATCGAAACGCCGGCCAGGTATGTTCGTGGATCACGCTCCTGGACAATGATGCCAAGAAACACAAAGACCCTATCTTCCAGGCCGTCCGCCCGATGCTCGATGTCGTGCGCGTCATGCTGAGCAGAGATCCCATCGACCGCCCCTCGGCGTTCCAGGTCGAACAGCGCTTCGCGTGCGCGCTTCAGAAGCTGGACGGCGTTCGGCCCCTGCACTGCGCATCTAAACTCCAACACCACGCACCACGATCCCAGAATGCTCTGCGCGTGGGCACCCACAAGAACGCCGATCTATCCTCAAACAACCTGATTGTCCCGCGCGCAGGGCCCGCAGCGCCCCGGTCACCTTCCTCTCTCAGCAGCGTCCCTGCTCCCACGGAGTACTCCCCCACTGCGCAAACCGCCCCCAGCCCCTCCGGAGGCCCCGTGAGCTACCAACCCTCCTCGACCGCCTCAATTTCCAGCTCCAGTCTCCCCGACTGCTATCTGACGGATAGCTATATCACCGCCAGCAGCGACACGGACCACGAACACGACCGGTACATCAGCTCCAGGACTGCATCCCCGTCCCCCTGGCTGGATCCAGAGTATGCGTCCGGCCCGACCATGCACCAGGATCCTTCGTGGAACTATAGTATGGCCATGAGGAAGAACTAACCGGGTTACGACCGCTATCTCCTCGCAATGCACATATCGCCACCCGTAACGCGTTGTTTTATCCACACCATGCGCGCCTCTCCTCCCTCTGATCCATCTTTCTCTCCCCTAACCCGATACAACCCCCTCATCCCTTCCCGAGCGCGTTCCTCTCTGCATACCCCAATACATACCCCGCAAAGCAATGCACATAACTCAAGCCTTCCCACGTCCTAAAGACCCCAAGCGCCTTACGCCGTGATTATCCACCCTCATTCGTCAAGACATACCCCCACGGCCCCTGGAAACCCTCTTTGTACTTTACCATTTACCGAGGGATTGTATATTGCATCTTCTTCCCGAAATCAGGCACCGTACCGCACCCCGTTATCCGTCCTGTATCCCCATCTCTATGCCCCTGGCAGCAGCGCATGATGAATGAACGAGGCATGGTCGAATAGGTAGCTAGATAAGTCAGCAGACAGAGTCCTCTCGGCGGGTGTGTTCTGTTTGTTCTATTGAAATGATATGATACCTAAATTTTTTTTTCCGTGTCGCATGGCTTGCCTCTGTAATTTAGCATCTCTAGCTTATCTGGTGGTTTGTCTGATCCTTTTTCTTTCTTGTTGACTGGTCGTTTCTTGATGAGTTTCCGCTTGGGTAATGATTTGTAACTTGCATCTGTATTCACTTTGTCTGGCGCTGCAGATTGGGAGAGAAAAGGGGGTATGGGGGGGGGGGGGTTAATGGGGAAAGGGTTTAGTCTCCCTTCCAGAGCGATATTCTGTGACCATATGCAAGATGAATACTTGAACATTATATTGGTCGTGTTGATGGGTAACCAGTAGCCATCCTGTGCTCCTCCTATACCTTATACTATGCTATCCTATCTATGGCAGTGCCAGGAGAGGGAAGTGGAGTGAATAAACCAGAGCGCGCGCGAAAATGCGGAGGAAAGCTGAACGTGGGAAAAGGTAGGACAGATATAAGGCGCCGGGTGGTTGATACAGAGCATAATCACACACGAACACCCACGAAACAAAAAAACAGCGTCAATCATAGCCACAATGCAAGTCCGCCTACTACCGTGCAGAGGGCGAGCGATATCTCGATGGCGCGGTTGAGGCTGCCGTCGCGGAGGATCGCAAAGGAACTGGCTCCGTTGCTTAGCTCGTAGGAAGGGAGGATGGTCTGCGAGGAGGACGCGGACATGGCGTCGGAGGAGTCAACTTCCTTCTGCTGTCGGTCGAAATCTGCATCTTTTTGCTTGTCCGTGGAGTCGCTCGGGGTCGCATGGTCGGTGGAAGAAGTCGTCTGGCCTAGGGTCGGCAGCGGCGCGCTGGGGTCCACGGCCCATCCGCCGGCGGTGGAGGCGGGACACGCGGGCGGGGTGATGGTGGAGGTGGAGGCGGCGTAGTCGGCCAGAGCGACGCCGGTGGGGTTTAAGGTCGCCCACTGCGCTTTGAGGTTGTCGAAGTCCGGCGCGACCGGCGTGGGTTCACCCTGGCGGACGAAGCCATCCTGCACGAGGGGCCCGTTAGTGGCGGCGGGCGCGTCCGCGGCAGGCGGCGGTGGAGGAGGGCCGTAGTTGACTAGCCCGTAGTCGTTGGTCTCCTCGATCCACTCGTAGATCATCGAGCCCGACCAGGTGTCCGCCATTTCGGGGCCGAAGATGGCGGCCTGGTCACCAAATGTCCGCGGGCGCGCAACATTGCAGCCGGTCTCTGAGAAGAAGATCGGTACGGGGTAGCCTTCGGCTTGCTTCTGGAGGGACTCGTATCCAGATTGGGTGAAGGTGGACTCTCCACACCATTCGTAGGCGTTCAGGGCGAAGAAGTCGAGTCGCTCTACCGGATCAGTTCGACAAGCCAGGTAGTCCTGCAGCATGGGACGCAGCTCTGCGATATCGGCGGCGGAGTAACCCACGGGGATGTTTCGGTATCCCTTTTCATCGCGGTAGGATTTCATGTCGCGTACTGCGGCTAGCACGTATGGTGCGGCGGCGGAGCCATCCTTGCTGGTGAGGACTTCGTTACCCACGAAAAAGCCGGCTGTGTTGTTGTACTGCTGGAATTCATCAAAGACCCCGGCGAATCGATCATATTGTGTCTGGTCCCAATGGGGATCGACCTAAACGGGCTGTGAGCATCGAGCCTACATGGTCATGTGACCGATTCGGAAGGAAGTACTGTGGTGCTCTCCCTGGGGAACCTACCTGAGAGATCGCCGTGTCGAAAGTGTCTAGATCCACAAACAGGTAGATGCCTGCATCTTCAAAGGCCTTCATGCAGCCGTCGTGGTCGGCCTCCGGGTCCACATGATAGACGCGGATAGCGTTGGTGCCCAACTCAGCCATGCGGGCCGCATCTCGCGTGCATTGAGCGGTGTCCTTCAAGGGATCTTCGGGAACGAGCTGATAGGCGATTCCTGGCGCCAAGGATAAATGCGTTAGTAAGGGGGATCGGTGAGGTGGTATTGGTAGACCGTGTCCCTGTACCTTTTATATAGTATTGCCTGCCATCTTCATAGAAGAATTTCGAACCCACGCTTGAGATAGTCTGGATGGCATGTGCAGAGCGTCCCAACGCTGCAAGCAGCAGAGAAAGTGTCGCCAGCGACGGTGAGCCGCTTGCCCTCATTGTGTGTATTTTCGACTAATGTGTCGGCTTATAGCTATTGAAGCGTGCTTCGACGTTGACGCGCAGCAATCGTTTGTGCAAATTGTTCAATCTCGAGCAGATGAATGGGGATAATGCGTTGGAACCTGTCTGACAGACGTGATTTGATAGCAGAAGCCTCTTGCCCACCCAGGCAAATTGATGCTGGACTAGCTATCCCGGCCTGGTTCTATTCACTGAAGCGCAGCTGCAAGGTTTCAATAGACTGTCGAACAATTCTCCGCGATGCGCAGAGTTTCGAACACGGAGTGGATTGGCAGCAAGAACACCCATCTTGAGACAAACTGAAGGTCTTTAATATGTGTACTCATGCTTCTCAACGCCCTTGCGACGCGGTGGGTGGGTGTTTGAGATGGCCTCCAGCCATACCATGGCACCGTGGATTCTTCGTTGAAGACATTGTTGACAAGCATTTTGCTAATAGTATGACGTCCTACTACATTCGCGCACGCCCCCCCTTTAAGTCATTGCGGTCGGGGGTTGACTGGAATGCAGCAGAATGACAGGCAGGGGGCGGGGATTAGTATGGGAGGAAGAGGGCAATGTCAAATGCCTGAGTTTCAAAGCGCCATACTGGCGACATGGGATGTATGCAGGGTTCGCGTTAAAGCAACGTGAACAATGCTTGTTGTACCATCAACATGTTGGAGCAATGAACATACTTAGTTTGAAGGACTCAAGGAGAAGGAAAGATAACCAACTACAGTTACATTCCTAATCGGGGGCAGCCGTTGCTGGCCTGGAGATTCAGGCCACAATTCTGCCACTCCAAAGCCGGCCCCCGCCGAGTTTCCCTCGGAATTGCCCGGAATGGTAGGTCGCAATCAGGTGAGCTTAGTCATTCTCCGATCTCAGACATTGTCGCCAATCATTTGTCTGTATCCTCCACTGAATCCCACTGTGATAATTAAAGCGCAATCTACATGTTTCTCCCCCTCAACCTTCCGATACCACCATCCCCCCCCTCCCTTTCAACAAAAAAAAAAAAAAAGGAGCAGGGGCAAATTTCAATAGCCCAAAAAAGCAGCATCGGTTCGTGTTCCTCTCGATTTGCCTTTCCGATGTCTTGGATCTTTATTCACAAGATCCGCATCAATGTGCTGGCCGTGACGCCATAAGCGGGCGACTATCGTGATGGCAGCGGAATAGTGCCCAACTATTCCCTCCCCAACTATCCCGACTAACTTAAGTTAGTTGGTGGGCAGCCCAGTGAGCCCAGTCTCCCCCGAGCCAGTTGGCGGCACTCGACTAAAGATTGCCCCCCCTTTTTTATGGGACCAAGACACATCAAGTTATTCGAAGTCAAGGCCTGCCCGGGCAGCACGAGGGGCTACTGGGTCTGGCCAACGATCGAGACCCTGGCCGATCCATGGCCAGATAATGAGGATCACTACCCGGACGAGGTCCGTTCCCTCCTGCCCACCCAATTCCCACTCACCATCCGGACCTCCAGGAAGGTTCAAAATTATGCGAGAATTCGGCGGCAAAAGCATCCAGGGAGGCTCAGAGGCGGCGAAGCTTGCGCGCATCGTGGCTGCAGACAGAAATCAGAATATTGAACGGTCGCAGGGTTCGATGATACATCAAGGACTCCCCAAATTGGGGTCGTGAATTGGATCGTCGGCGGCTTGCGTGGATGACGGGGCCTCGCCTGACTTGGGCTGGGCTGGCTTTGGCTTAACTTCCCGCATTCGATGGCTTGTGGGAACCGCTCGTCACCGTTTCATTTCCTCCTTTTCCCTTTTCATCTAACTCGGACCCCCCCGTCGTCACTGTCAATCGCGCTTATTATAATAATAATAATATTCTCAATCGCCTGTGGATTTAATACTTCCCCCCTCTCCCCTCCCCGGATTGCTCTCGTCATTGTTGTTGGTCGACTTCGCTTATTATCATCCTCCTCCTCCCCTCTAGAATTGGACTTCTGGACTCTCTCTCTGTCATCCACTACCCTAACTCTTCAGTAATTCTTTTTTTGGATCATGCTATCCGTGGTTCCTTCATATTTGAACGTTGCCATCCTAGGAAAGCTTCTCTGCCTACACTCGCCTTAATTGATTGGCTGAAGATTAGTCGTGTGCGCACACTACCCATCTTATCATAGCACATCAGCTCGACTCTTATAACAGACACTTCAAGATCGCTTGGATTCAATTCCTCTCTTCTATACTACAGTTTGCCCATTATAGTCAGCGGGCGACTCAATCAGCACGATGGAGACCGGTAATACTGTGTCGCCGTTTCGCATCTCACACCAGGATCGTGACAACCTGGATCGCAATGAGGCTTTCCGCATGATGCGTGAGCATCTCAGGCGACAAGAATTGGGCATGAAGGCCCCTAGGTATGTGACTGTGAGGCCTGTTATTATGGTCACCGAGCGCTAATGAATTTGATTGTAGCTTTTGCGCCTGCCACCGCAATACCTGCTCGGCCCAAGAACAAGAGACATTCCGCCTGCATCGCGACATCATTCATACGCTGCTTCTTCCCCTGTCTCTTTTGCACCACGAAGCCTCACGCATCGCCGCCAGCGTCCTTCCGAGTCGCAAAGGAGCGGAAGCCGACCGAGCCTTTCGGGGTGAGGCACGGAGTGCCTATGCCTGGTTACATTCGATCCTGACCGAGGAACACGATTGGTACTTGACGGAGCGTTGCCCCGCGTGCATTGTTCTGCATGTGATGAACTCTGAGCCCACCATCCGCTTTATCGCCGTGGCCTGCCTCTTGTCCGACCATTTGCATGGCAGCAAAAGACGGTTGCCGAACTTCGAATTTTGGCTACGGTCGTTGGAAGCCGCAGTCCGGGAAGATCCCTTCTGGGGCGATGATTTCTGGCCGGACATTGAATACCGGGCGTATGCGCTAGCCGATAGCGTCAAGGAGCTGGTGCTGCAGTGTCTGGAGCTGCAAGCGGCCTGGGATCGGCAAGACCTGCCGCCGGCTGTGTCGTACCACGCCAACTTCCGCTGTGACTCGTCACGGCCAGCTGTGGTGGTCAAGTCGGCCAACTGTGCACCCGTCACAATCTCAATGGGAGACGAGCAAAAACTGATGGCCAAGGTCGCCGCCAGTCGCGGTACGCAGTCGCGTCGGACCGACCGGCCTCAACGTTTTCACACTCGTCGCCACGCGGATGCTCGCAGAAGATCCGTGACGTCTTGAGATATCACCTGGTGGGGTGATCAGAATTTCCGATCTCAGACTCGATGTCTGAGAAACGCAATCCGTCTAATCTGTCCCATCCTTGGGGATAGTGGTATGACTAGATCTCTCAGTCCAATGGCTTCGAATGATGGGCCCTACATGAGACATGATCTGCATGTATGTCAATGACTAATTGACAATCATCGGGCTGAAGCATAAGCGTGGAAGTGACTGTAACCTTGAAAGCATTACAATTGCTGTATTGCATTGCTTTCTAAGCGAGCTTCTAGACCCAACCCGCCGCATCGCAACGCAAGGGACCCCTGCTTATCCCAGTCACTGAGATGCGCATGGCAGCCATCAACCTGTCGACATCCAGCCACTTTACGCAAGGATTGTCCGCGGAGATGCACTCGTGCGGCGGGTGCTCGTCAGTCCGAACCGTGCAAGGGACATTCTAGCCAACCGCTATAGCGAGGCTGCTGGCCACGCATTGCGGTGCTGCTAGGGGAGCTGGAGCCTGGTGGAAGAGGAAACCGAATGGTTGTGAATTTCTCTAGCTACAGCAGATGACGACGCAGTTGACTCTGACGCGCGTCGTCACAGCTTACTCTGTATAAAGATAGTGGAATGCAGACCAATTGCCAATACGTTTCTTCTATTTTCTTCTTCTGTAATTGTTGGAACCTTATACTTGTACCGAGTTAATGGACCATATTTCGGTCATAGACATGCATCAATGATAAGCGATGCCACCTACAAGTGCGTGTAGTGTGCTGATATTGCGGTCAGGTCTTTCCCTCTACCTATCTCTGACCACCCATTGCAATAGACTGATGCGGCTCAATGCAAGACGTCCTTCCTTACTCCGTACTATTGAAGACATTCTGCCATTGGTGCAACACAAGACATCATACGACACAATTGAACAGCCTTGGTTGGAGTCGAAAGTCAACCTCCGCATTGACTTGCAAAATCAAGGCATACAAACATCCTTGTCAGGATCGATTGTCGATGCAGCTAGTATTCGGGTCCAGCTGCCCGAATGGCCGCATTCTGCGTCTCCACCGACCTACTTCTTCTCGCATCGCTAGTACTGCCATGATTTTCACTGCTCTCACTTCGACGAGCAGAGCTGGTGCAGGTTTCTCACAAAAGCGACTCAGCCTGTGAGGGTATATCGTCTCGAAGTGACATTGCGTGATCTCTCCTTCTTCGGACCTCCTAGTCTGGGGAGGCAATTCGCAATGCACAACTAAGGAGATGTCGCCTCGGCGTCCTGATCCTTTGCTTTTGCTAGGGAATTGGCTATGTAGATAAACTGTGTCTCTCTGCTTCACAGAAGATGGTGCGAGTCGCACTTCTTGGTGTCCTGTCCTTATGATTTATTTTTCTCTCAATTCGTAGCTGGGGAATTGGCGAAGGACTTTTCAGCCTGCAGGCAGAATGGGGATCGAAGGATGAGGATGATAGGGCTGTGTCTGGTATTAGTTTGCGCCGATACCGCTGCTGGATGTTATACCAGCTATCCCTGCTTCGTAGTTGCAAAGGTTGTAGTGTATGCACGAGGATGAACAACAAAGTCGCGATGGCGATGGCCATGTTCTTCGCCCATCTGATTCCTGTGTTCCATGCCCCGCCTAAATGCCATCAAGGGACTTGACTATACGAAGGATGACCTCTTGTGTGGTCCATGTCGACACCGTCTCTCTTACGCCCCGGTTCAGCAGGGCCCAGCAACCCAGCTACTAACTAGTCTTCTGGGGGAGCTCTCCACTAGCGGTAGTGGTATCCATCTCCCTCGGGGCGAGTCGGGGTTTGTCGTCGTGGTGAAGGTTTCGAGCTAGAGATCCTGCGGGAGGGGGAAGAGGAGGTGCAAGCCCTTATCAGGTTGGTTGCATGGAACCCAAGGAGGCGGGATTCATCAGGCTGGCAGCCTGAAATGTTGTTGTTGAAGAGACCAGATTGACCTGTGACTTGGAAGGAGGGATTGGTGTGGAATTGACGAGTTGGTGTATACTCTGAAAGCCGTCTTTGGATGAATTATCCAGGACACGGCGTTAGGTGAAGAGGTAGCCAGTACTAATGTCCTTTCTAGAGTATACTGCAAGCCAGAGATATTCCTACTAGTTATTCTAAATCCTGGGTGGATATCATCAGACATTCAAGTATAGCTGTGTCAATGCACACGGGACAATTATAGCGCCTGATATGCAGGTTCCACGGCGTATTTATGTCTATTGTCTATAACGAGGGACATATGGGATGCTGAATTAGTACTGACTGGGCTCTTGTACTGTGAAATGTCAAGTCCCATCTATGAAGTATGAACAGAACGTAGCATAATGCAGCAGTTATGTTATACCGACTCCAGGTTTCACAGCTAGTATGGCGGACTTCAAAGGGGATTGCGGGAGCCTCCACGGACTACTAGATCTGCCTGCGCCTGCACCCCAAGTTGACTTCTAGTCAGTTAGTGTCCATCACCTGCATACCTCAGCTAGCAACAAGAGCGCAGCAAGACAAATTGCCAGTTACCTCTCAGCTCTCTCACAGCACCCTCAATCTCCAAACCACCCACCAACACGGCACAACCCTCGGTTTAATAACGGTCAGTGGCGTGCCCTCATCTCCCAAATTCAAGCCTCAAGTCCAGCCGGATAGATAGGCACAGTAATGTTCCCCCAGGAAGGAAAGACACCCGAGCTAGAACCTGGGCTTCAGTTCGACTAACTTACCGCCCGGGAAGCGATCCATGAAAACTAACTTCCCCCCAGTCCCATCCAGCCCAGCCCAGCCCGCCGGGAAAGGTGTTACGTACGTACGCATGTAAGTATGTATGTATGTAATTATGTGAGTATGTACGCCTGTGTAACGAGACCCCTCTCCTGAACCACACCCTATTCCAAGGCATCACGCCAATTGATGGGCGGACGGGAGCAGGGCTGTCAGATGAGCCAACCCTGAGCCGTTTTTAATCTATGGATTGTGGTTAGTATCTAGAAATGTTGGGTTGATTGGGTGGCGGGGAGGTTTGATCTTGATTGAGGGTGCGGCGGGTTGATCGGAGAAAAGATCCCCCCGCCACACATGGGCTGTAAGGAACCTTATTGGGAGACGGCGGGCTGCTAAGCGATATTAAATGGATGTCTAATCATCCAATGTTGTAACTAGGTAAGAGTAGTAGTTGGTTTAAGAGTGGAGGGGTTCTGCATTTCCTTGGACTTTTTTTTTTTTTTTTTTTTTTTTTTAGCTGTCTTTCAATTGTCTTTGTGAGGTAGATTGGCGTGTCTTGTGTCGGGTTGATTAAGGTGATATGATGTCTTGTTTTTAACTGTTGCGTGGTTTGTCGATTGTAATAACGATCTACGGAGAATGCGGAGTAGAACTGGATTGCGTCTGGATATTGTCATCGTGATGGGCTTGGGGAAATAGCATGATCGATCGTGCAATTATGTGAGGACGCTCGGGGGGGGGGGAGTTTGAAAGGATTTGGGTAATGCTTTCGGCTCATTTAGTTCATCCTTACACTGGAGAGGGAGATATTGGATAGGACACAGATTGTGTACAATAAATCATAATGGAGTTTCGGTGGCCCCATAACTTACATCTTAACTCATACTCTTATACCGAGACGGATACCTGCAGGTGGCCCTTCTAGTGCGAATTGGAACCCAGACCGTGATCAACAGACTACATACCACACACTACTCCGTACTGTCAGTGTCTCCTTGTGTACTTGTACATGTATGGTGATGAACGAGAATCTAGACCCTCGCATCGTCCCTCTGCCTGCTTACTCAGTCCTACCAAGCACGAAGAAACAGGATTCTACGCGTACGGAGTACTCGTCTCTAACCCAGTAATGAGTCTTAACGACCACCAGAAACTTATCGAACAAATCCCTCCACGCAATGCTGGAACACATCCATACCATACCAAAATCCAGGGTACCCAACCAAGTTTAGACTTTTAACTTGATTGACGGGTTTATTCAAATCAATTGAGCAAGTCTTCCGAGCCCCGGAATATCTCCCAGGCGTAGAAAAAGGCAAAAAGGGGGGCGCGGCATCTGAGAAATCAGGTGATTCGCGGCACACAGACACACGGCAACCCACCCACCACACACCATCACCCTTGACAAGTTTGACAGACCGGACACTGATGGACAGACCAGATGTTGAGTAAGGAAGATTCTTCCGTAGTCATGCTTTCTTTTCCAGGATTTTCGATTTCTCTAAACTAACTGACCATGGCAGCACAAGCGAGATGAGCCGTTAATGTGATACAGGGTTATTTGTACAGTACCTCACTCTGGAATGGGGAGTTTTTCGTTGTGGGTATGCTGTGTGTTGTGGACTACTGGCTCCTTTATCAGTGTGGACAGACTGATCTCTAGGCTTATGGGTGTCTGAATGATCGGGTCGATACTATTTACTCCGTACAGTAGGCTGTTTTTGGTTGCTGTGCTGTGCTGTGCTGTGCTGTGGTTATCGCTGGTAGTTAGTGTAGTAGTGGTGGGTAAACTCTCCCTAGACAGGCAGGTAGGTACGGTAAGCACTGGCACAAGACCCTCAATGTGACCCTGTATGTAGCTGTCTGTAGCTTACCAGCTGGAAAAGCACGGGACCCAACCCAGCCCAGCCACTGACGTCGTTCACAGGCCGCAGAATTCTAGATGGAACCAGAAAGCGAGTAGCGAGAGCAGAGGCAAGCGGATGGAGCCGATTCCGGACGACGGAGTACAAGGGAAACGGAGGGCTAGACCGCGGCGGAAAGCGATGAATCATGGATATGTGGTGATGGTCAGTGTGTGTTTGATGATCAAATCCCGATCTGACTCTTGGGCGGCGGTCGGTCCTTTGGGTTCTGGTCATCCTCTACCGGTGATAATTCTGGAGAGAGGAATTTTGGGGGAAAGGGGGCTTTGCGGCTGATCTAATGGAAGGGAATCGGGCTTGAGGCGGTCAATCAACCCAGCAGATTAAGCGGCTATTGATTGATTGGCAATGATGATACATACTACATTATTGAGAAGGATTCGACAGAGACAAAAGCAAAGAAACTCAGCCTCAGGCGTGCGGAATCAGCCCGGATCAGCAACTCTACTGAGTGAAATAATGCAACACGTCCAAGTCAGTGCCATTGACAGATCGGATCATTCACAGTCCAAGGAGTAAGAGTCGTCACGGCAAAGTCGGCAAGTTTAAATCAATTCTAATCTCCAAAGTGTATCGAAGTAACTACCGGTATGTGTGGTAAGGTTGGGAACAAAGACCGCCCGGCAGGATTATGCCTCTTGTGATCCGTACCTGCCTTTAAGGGCTATGAGATGATCTGGAAGCTACTTACACAGCAGTGTCTGGAGTCAAAGATACTGAGACGGTCAAGTTGCGGTGTTCAGAAAAGAGGCCCAGACTTGCATACGAAAAGCAAAGTGATGAACCTTAAAAATCCGCAATACTTGTTAATGGCAACTGGCAGTAACTGGCGATAACTGGCAAGGCGATTACCAGTAGTTAGGCGGATCGCCTCGGCAGCACGGAAACAAGGGTCTAGGCGTCAATCCGCCCGGATGCGGCAGTGGATTCGATCGCACCATGCAGGTGCGCCTTCCTGCCGTGGAACCTGGGTGAAGGGAGTGATTGGGGGGGTGGAAAGAAAAGGCTGACGACGTCAAGATCTGAGAAAGCATAACTGACCTGCAAAATAAAGGGGGAAAAATAAAATACAAAATGACTGGATCCGGGGAAACAGCAGTCAAGTTGAGTGGACGAGGAACCATTTTCCCTCCTTTAGTGTCTACTTTACTTCCCAGCAACAACTGGCATCAAAGTATGACTTACCTTCCCAAGTAACTTACCAACATCCTAAGTTACCTAGGATTATGCCTCTTACTCCAGTCTACTCCGTAAACTTCAAACTTGTGCAAGACGGCTGGCGATGATCGAGCCCGAGCCACCCAATGTTAGTGGATGAATTCCCCTTGTAATCTATTTATACACAATCTCCACCTGGATTGTGCACAGATTTTGCAGCCGAGAGAGCCCCATCCTTCATTTTGTGCAGGGACTATCTTCCCGGGGCGGGTGGGCGCCCTGGGATTCCATTCCTTTTTCGCCTTCCAGTCGGTGTGACGAGGGCTTGGCTGTTGGCCTTGTCGCCTCAACAAACAAACTAAAAAGGCTACATACATACATACTTTTGTGAACACTGTAGACAGTAGACAGTAGATACGGGGAGGAGTCGTTTCGCATCTGATTCAGAGCGTGTCTCGACCCGGAGATCCGATCATGGCTCCCACCCGCGCCCGCCCGCGCCAGACCAGGCAAACAAGCCTCCCCCCGATCAGACTGTGCAGGACGATGATCATCAAAAGTGATGCTGATCCAAGTAATACGAGATGAGCGGGCAACGGAAAAGGGTCACAGTGCCCAGACCCTCCCTCGGTCACTGACCATCACCACGGAGAGTCACAACCAACCTGACAGGGCGCCTGGCAGTCCTGTCGTGCCATGGATGAGTAGATGAGTAGATGGGGGATTGACGGGAGTATTTATTCAAAATACCGCATCCAACGGCTGCTGCCTTCGGGGAGGAGACAGAAGAAAGGGAGGGAAGGGGGGGGGAGGATAAGATGTAGTACTGTTAGTCTGTTACTGACCAGGTCATCCGCAGCTCGTGTGTCGTCCTTCCCCCCCCCCACCATTACCACACAACGCAAGAATGGACAGTGGTAAAGCCG